CTAGCCAATTGTCAGAGGGTTTTTTCCCCAAGGCTTAATTCACATCGGGACCCCTCAAACTTATTTTTGTATTTCATTGTCATCCACAGCTTTCTGTAAACCAGGTGCTCAGAACTTAAACTCTAATACTGTTTCCTCCTCTAGTCTTCCATTTTATTTATAATCCTTGGATCACATAGGCTGGTGTGCTTCTTCCATGTGAACTTAGTTAGCACCTCACTCAGATAGCTGCTGTTTTAAAATAAGCCTTTAAGACCCCAGAGGCTCTTCATTTGGATAGCCGGGCACCATCTGATTTCTTCCCCACACCTACAGCACCTATATCTTTAGCGATTTCTTCATGAGAGAAAATATTGAGTGGGGGTACATCATACATTCATTGTTCTTAGATTAGGGCTATGATTAAGTGTGAGCTCAAAATCCATTAGAATAACCACGGTATCTATATATCCCTGGTCCACTTTTAAAAGTTATCATAATAATTTTTTAGGAGGACATTATAAATCATCCCCATGCAACATGTGGGACATATCATTAATTTATAGAATGGTATAGAAATTAAAATACTGTTGAGGAAAGAAAGTACACCTGTGTAGGACTGCTGTTTAGACTAAAGCACATAGGTTGTTGCTTATACAGATTCAAACTTGAGTGAGTGGGCCCTGTTTATACAAACAATGAGGGTTAGAATAGGGCAAAACTCATTCACAAAGCAGAACTCTGTCTGTTGAAGACATGTCATAAAAAATCAAAGAGAATATGAAAACAGCAAATATCTGGGTTTCTTAGGTTGCCTTTTATTGGTCATCCTCAAAGCAAGAGATTGGAACCTCTAATGATTTCAAAATACATAACCTCAGGCTAGCAGACATCGGTTTCTTCTCACACCATAGCATTTTAGCCGTAGGTCCGAGGGAGTATTTCAGTTCCTTTAATCTGCTACACATGTGTTTAAGGCAAAGTCTGGTCCACTTTGTGGGGTTTCCAAATCCAATCCTTTCATGTGGACTACGAAGGATGTTATGAACTTTGAAAAGGAACAGTGTGACGTTTCTAGCATGCTGTCTCTCACATGTGGCTTAGGTCACCAGGGGCTGAACAGACGCAGTCAAAGGTGCTCGATTAGGACAGAATACCGAGGGCCTTCTCCAGGGCAGGTCTACGTAAGTAATGGTAAGCATTTGTCCCAGTGGTAGGTTGCCCTTCCTGGTTTACCCACCAACAGAAGTTCAATCACCTTTCTCAAGACAGACACCCCCACCACCTCTGGACTTGAAATCCCGTGAAGTTCACTAAGCAGCCTTGTAGGTGCGGCTTTCGATTGGGGGTGACTATGAAACAATGTTATGTGGCAAGAACTGATTGGCCTTCTCCCTCTTCCCACAACATGGGAACCTAACCCCAATTGAGGTGAGGCTTTGTGTTAGTCCGGGTAGACTAGAAAAACAAATTCATAAGCATACATACGTGTTTGAGAAAGAGCTTCATCTACAAGAGCAATTGAATATTGAGAAAACATATCAGGTCCTTAAGTCTGATATCAGCCCACATGTCTGATACCATGTGAGTGAGTGGGCCCTGTTTACACAAATAATGAGGGTTAGAATAGGGCAAAACTATTCTAGTTACCAATCTATAAATTCTTCTGTAGACTCATGAAACACATGCAATGATGGCGAATGCAGGAAGATCACAGGCCAGTGGGTGGGAAGTCTTGTGGATCCAGTGGTGGTAGAGGCATCTCAGCACTGGCAGGGGTCTCCACATGGCTCCTTTAGCTCCAGGACTCTAGCGTAGCTCCATGTGTCTTGTCAGCAAGCATGTCTCACAGGGAGTA